GAGTACCATATAACTTAATCCCTCAAAGTAAACAATAGATTATTTGCACACAAAATATGTCAGACAAGTAAACGAGGGATAGGAATGCTGACGTGTAAAGGTATTGGGACAAATTTGTGTTATCATGTCCCCCAAAGTAAACGACCCCTTATTGAACAACAAAATAGAATTCATCTATAATTCAAATAAATTGAAACGCTAATTCTAACCCTAATTTCGAAAAACCCTAACCCCAACAACAACCAAACAATACACAATTGACAATTTACACACAAAATTTCAATCTCCAATTCAACATACACACATAATCAATTAGCAATTTCAATCTTCAAACACCATAACATTCAAACATATTATAACAATTCTCAATCTCCAAAAAACTCCAAACAAATATAAAAAGTTAAAATGAGCCAATATATCTCGTGCGAATGAATTAACCGGAAATAAGACTCGTGTTGCTGTTGTCGGTTCACGTCGGAGTGTGGATTAGATCGAGATTTTTTTTTTCAAAGTTTTTTCGCTTTTTCTGTTTCTCTTCTCTGTGTTGTTGGTTGCTTGCTCGCATAAAATGAATGGAGAAGAAAAGATTTTTTTTTTTTTTTATATATATATTTACTTGTAAAACGTATCCTCAGAGTACGTTTTATGTAAATATATTTTTTTTATTCAAGCGCATTTTTAATGAAATCGCATCCACGTTTTTTCCAGAATTTTTTTAACATAAAACGTATTTGCGGAATACGTTTTTAGAAAAAAACGTATTTCAAAAAAACGGTTTCATACAGTTTCTTTTTTTTTTTAAAGAAAATAAAACTATAAAATAAAAGGCATATTTCAGAAATACGTATTTCAAAACCCTAAAAATCAATTTTAGGGGTTTAAAAACGTATTTGTATAATACGTTTAAATATTTCTGTTCTTTTACTATTTAACGTAATTTTGTTTGCTTTTTTTTTTATTTACAAAAGTGATTTTAAAATGTATGCTACGATACATTTTTCTATTTTTTTTTTTTTAAAAACGTATTTCGAGAATACGGCCTTTTATTTTGGTTTACTCGTTTTTTATTTTTTATTTTTGTCCATTTATTTTTTAAGTTTTTTTTAATAAACCGCTCTAACTCTGTGTTAATATAAGAAATCATATATTTTGTCGGTTCTTTCAATATAATTAATAATGATAATAATTGTTATACCACACAAACCTGGACCGCTGGACCGCTCCTCCTCGAACCGGGTTACGTCTCCTTGATCGCCGGTACCTGCAAAACACGCCGGGGGTGGTCCCGGCGCGAACACTCCGACGCTCAAGTCAGTGGTGATCCGAAGAAAAAGCGGCAGAGTAACGAGAGAATTTGTATGTGTGTGTTGTGTAAATGAAATAACCTGCGCCCCTTTTATAGATGAAGACATATAGAGGCTGTAGAGTTCTTATCATACCATGAGTCTTCTCCTCAGATTAGGTCAAAATTCCAAGAGTCCTTGAGGTTACGAACCTCTTTATGACTTGAGTATGATACCCTCTTTGGGCTCTGGTCACCTCAATGGGACGTCCAGCTACTTAGGTGCCCGGGTGCTACCTAGTCCACATTGAGCTAGGCTCCGCCGACCACCCACGTAACTAGCCTCTGCCGACCACCCACGTAACTGGCCTCCGCCGACCACCCATATACCCCAAAGGTACCATGGGCTATGCCCACCAGAACTTTTGCCTACCGACCATGTACCCTAAATGTACCATGAACTGCGCCTACCAGATTGGACCACCCGGCTGAGTGCGACTAAAACCCGGATCACACCCGGTCCTTCATGAGCCGCTACTAACGACCACATCAATAATAATAATAATAATAATAATAATAATAATAATAATAATACATTTCGTACATCAAATATCAATGCTAGTTTAGGTTATGCAGTTGTCTTACAATTACAAACGTAGCGTTTTCATTTATCCACCAATTTTGGACTTTGTCATATATCCACGTGTTAATGTAGGTTCAATTTTGTATTGTTATAAATTTGGTAAACCTCACGATGCTCTAATTACTCATCGGATAAATAACTGTACACAGTAATTCTTGCTACATATTATACAGTATAATTTAATCCAATCCATTTAGAATAGATTTTAATATTCCTATATTAAAGTATGATTAACAATATGCAATAATTCGATGCAAAATATTATTAGTTGAATAATCCAATTCATTTAGGACGAAAAAGAAAATAAAAGATGTAATCCTCTTAATACTCATAAGATGAATAACAATTATATTCTAAATTGGATAATCTAATCCACCTTAAGATAAGGAAAAAGGGAAAACTTTGAACGGGTAAGGAAAGATATATTTTTATTATTTTTTTGGGTGTTTTTTCAGCATTTTTATTATTATCTTTTGTGATTTTAAGTATGTTTAATTTGGATATTAGAAAAACTTTTAAGAAATTCATCTCGTGTTTGTAAAAATTCTTATAAATGCGTTATTCAACGGCCGGGCCTCAAATGTTGGGTCCAGGACCGTCCTGACCATACCTAAGGGCCGGTTCAAATGAACAGGCCTAACTCGACGATTCATTGAACCGTCAGTTTTAAAAGAAAAATAAAAAGAAAAAACAACTATGACCCATCAAAAGACCCAAACCCGACCCAACCTGATAGGTCAAAAAGGCAAAAAAAATCGACCCTGAACCAGTCCTTAAAGGCTAAGGGTCATGTTAAAAAACTGTTACATCCGGACC